GGTATTCATATTTAACACAGGTCCCACACTTAGGAGGCCCTGCACAATTAAACTATTCTCTGCGTTAGAATACATATGTTTTAATGAAAATTATTTATTTTATTTTTTTGCAGGAAAACTTACAGCTGATCAAGTACAGTAGTTCGGTTTTTAATGACATTAATAAGGCCAAGTACAAGTTTTCACAAATATAAAAGCAGACATAAATATATAAAATAGGAAGTAGACAGAGAAAAATAAATCCCTTCAGGAAGTAAAGACAGAATTACGAAAGGTATAATCCCTTATAGTAGCTATCATATATAATCCTAATTGAATTAATAGCAAACATTTGTATGCATAAAGCTTAATAAATAAAATAAGCAAATAATTCCTTTTAGAAATCTATGAAATAATACGACGAGAAAGCAGCATGTTAGCTTACATTTTGTACAAATATTGGAAACATTCGCTTAAGGTGTTTTAAGATTTTTGGGCGACAGGTGAAAACATAATATTTATTTTATATTAGTCAACAAATGAGTAGTTCGTGATACATTTCAAAATACAAGTAAGTACAGGTTTGTTAAACATAATTTACATTAGTTATATTCTTCAGAACAGCACATAACTATTATAATATTCTTCCAGATATGTTTCTTCTCTGTGCCTTCCGCAGATTCTCGATCTCGATGAACTAGGAACAAAATCAGCTTTCACAATGATCTCAGAATTTAGAACAATCTGTCAAATCATTATGAAAACCAGTTTCGTAATTCCTTTTGTTCTTTCTTCATGTAATTCTCTCCTCTATGTCCAATGCTCGCAGCGGCCATTGTGGGGACAATATCTATAGGAAAACGGTCAGAATAATGCTAGTAGCTACTAATTGTTACTTACCTAACACGTGAATTTGATCAGGAGAGGAAAACCGCACTCGGTTGCCAACGAATGTCATTTGCTGTTTCGTTTGATAGACTTTAATTACATCGGAATCGCAAGAATTCAATGTTTAACACAACAGTTAGCGGCAATAGAAGAATATGAATGGATTTGTCATCGCTCGATTGGGTGAAGTATGCGGCGGGAATGGGATGTGACGTGGTCGGCGGGACGCTCCCATTGGCCGCATCACCGCCTGCTATGACATCATGCTGAGTCAGGCGCACACCACACTACACTGCTCCTTCCCTCTGCTAATTGACGTCCATCTGTAACACATACATCCATTCTTTAGTACAATCCGTATTGCAAACTGGCCGACCGCGAGTAGAAGTCATTGCGGCACGTCCTTTGACAAAAATATTAGAGCTCATTATTATGTTCATATAATAGAAGTGAATTGACTAAAATAGTAATAAACGAAGGCGGCAGGGTCCGTGGTAAGCAATGCGGGCTCACCCACACCGCGCGCCGGCTAATTAGGCGACGCGGTGTCAGTGCGCTGCTGCTGCCTCAAATGGTGCGGATAGCGACTTCGGCCTTTCTCGGCCTTGTTCGGCTGTGCGCGGGAGTCGGCGCCACTACAATTATTTCGCCAATTTATTGACATCGATGGTAGTACCACACATGTACCACCTACGACTTCAAACTTGAATGCATTCATTGCCGGACAAATGTCGACATATTTCGAACAAAGTACGATTTGCTACCTCCACTCCGTTACTATAGCTGTGAACGTGGGATTGTATCAGATCTACCAAGTCATGGAGCGTGTTTCACGATGATCGACTTTGATGTTTTATGCAATATGATCCACGAAAGGTGATATCTAGTTAAAGCGGTTCCCCAGCGAAGGTTACTTGGTCAGATATAGAGAGCGCCGAGTGATGGGAAGTGTGTTGGTGGCGGTGGTGGGCAGCGGTGTGGTGTGGGGGCGCAGGTGCGCTGGTGCTGCTGACGTCACGTCCGGCGCGGGAGCTCCTCAATGGGCGCGCTCTATGTGGGCCACACGTGTCACGTCATCCCTCCCCGACCCACGTGTGTCCCCTCGCCTCACACACACTAACGCCGCTCTAATTGCTGACAACTATGGGAAATAGCGCAAATGTGTTAGTTTTTATCGCAAAGCATGTTTACACTCTTGATAATGACGAATGTGTCGTCTTTAGATACTCATTTTATCGCAGGCGTGGACCCTGTTTCAGCTAATTTTATAGCTCAAGGAGACAGGTATCAAAGACAATAAATAAATGCGACTACAAGAACTGTAAAACTCGGCAAGTATTACGAGCGAAGCGCCCCAATAAGAATGTGTGGCGAGCGGAAGTGTATAACGTTTTTGACAGAATTGGATCGTGTGAATAATAAACATCAGGTCCGCGGCATAACATTGTCGTATCGAATGCTTCGGTGTGGGACGATGAGAAGCGCAGTTACGTCAGAGAATGGCGAGCGGCGAGCGCACGAGAGGCGCGGGTGTCGTCCGACTCTGCGACGTCGCAGACGAGGAACAATGGACTTAAAAATGGAATTTAGCGCATGAGGTGACGAAACGTGTCCCGGCTGCGGCGCGGACGTCGCGACAAGTATGTAGGGCGGGTGACGCGCCGACTATTGATAGTGCGCCGCCGCCGCCGCCGCCGACACCGCAACAACTACCATTATTCTCTTTACAATTCTGTGCTCTAGAATGCAGCGCTCTGCCGCGCGGAGCCTGCAAGCGGATCTATAGTCGTTCTATTTACAACCGGACCGTACAAACGCCGACGTGCCTTATATGTCGTGCCGTTTATCACGCTTATTAGGCATACGTTTAATATTATATTATGTGTCTATCTACGCATACCGATACACCTCTTGGAAAGAGGTAACAACTTCGCGGAGCTCGTAGACGACTTGAAGAGCGTCTACGATACTGCATTCAAGATCCAAATACAATATAGGTAACGGCTAAATATTTTGTTCTATAACTATTTTGCAAAATACTTAATTTAAATATAGATATCTAACGAATTCACAAAGCCATGTCTTTTTAATTAAAGGTTAAGAAAATTAACCTAAATAAGTGAGTGTATGCGAAACATCATCACAGTAATACTCAAACAACTATAAACTGTTGCCGAGACTAAAAGCCAGTCCAAGAGTGACGATAAGGTAAAGAGGCTGATGAGTTATGATTGGCTACAATGTTGGGTATAGAGATAGAGCGGCATTCCGCGGCCGTAACGGTGAGTTATTTGGCGGGCGACGGGCGTAGTGTGCGGCGTGAATGGCCGCGAGATGCAGCCTCCGCTGCAGCGCCGCAGGCTGCGCCGCGCGCCTCCGGCCCGCGCCCGCGCCCCCGCCGCCGCGTGCGCATTCCGCCGAGCGTGGAGCGCCGCGAAGCTAGTCGCTTGCGCAACCTCCGTCGCCGCATTCCATTCATAGCGACGCGCGACTCGATAAACACAGCTTATGACCGCTGCGGGTCGCTCGCGGACCGCCGCGGCCACGCTGTGGTCGAGGAGGCTCTCGCCTTCCCGGAATGGGAAAACGAGCGCGGATTTTGAAATTTTAGAGCGTTACGCCACATTTGTTCGTGAACGTCACGGCGGCGGCGGTCGGCCGGTGTGAATTCCGCCGGACGTTGACCCATACCGCCACTGCTTTCTCCGACTCAGTGTTTGCTATTGGAACGAATCTATTAATTGGAGAAACTCAGTTCACACATGAGCGTGGAAAGTAGACCGATGAGCTTTAGTTATCCGAGTCGCAGAGAGCTAAAACGTCACGCAAGCGCCCTTTATGAATAATAATCACACACGTGTAAGTTAGACACGGAGCAACCAATGCAGTATTGCGCGCTACACGGACTCACTATCGGCTGTCGGTTGCTCGTCAAAACAGCGCCTTTATGGTTCGCTTAGGTTGCAATAAAGTTAATAGCCTGCACTTGGCCGCGGGATTACCCGTCTGTGTGATAGTATTGCAGACTGCCGAGTCAACGTGTCTAAGCTAAATGTGTGTGGCGGGGGATGCGCGTGCGCCGGTGTTCTGCCGAGCGAGGCGTGCGGCCGAATGCCGGAGGCTGCATTCCTCTCCCCGCCGCCCGCAGGTGAAATGTCACCAAACAGCATTCCGAAATATTTGAAACGACCTTTATGGCGCGAAAGAAAGTGTGTGGGGCGCGGGGCGCGGGGCCGCGCGACCGTGGGACAGCGGCGCGCGCGCCAGTCGCACGCCCCCCACCCCCGCGCGCCGCGCCCCCGCCGCCCCGCGCCGCCTCCCGCATTCCAGCGCGCCTCCCTCCCAATTTATTCAGCCGCGACCCGACACACCAGCATCACCACGCTTACCACACCTGGAAACCACCGACAACCCTTCTTTTGCACCCTTTAACTTATTCGCTTTTGCAATCTTAGTTTTGTTATATTTCTAACCTTACTTTGGTACATAATCGACCGATGTTAGTTCACTGCGAAACAGGTACAACTTAGTGGTCTTGTGATTCACAAATATGAAATCATTGATAAACAGCTTTAGGTACTTAATTATATCTAACTGATAAAATATCTATTTTTGATTGGTGCTGGGGGAGGTAGGTATCAAGGATTCTAACAAAAGACTTCAACGCACATTAAGGTTTAAGAAATTGCTTACTGTAAGACATAATGTGTGTTTGACAAACTACCCATTTTGTATCAATGTGTGAATTGAACTCTGTAACTTCTATGACATTAAAAATGGAAATAATTTCTAAGATAAAATAAGGAAGGCATGATATGCTCCTGATATCAGGGTATTAAATAGAGTGTCAATGATATTTAGAAAAGGTGATCGTTTTGAGGGTTCTCAGCCAACTTGGGAGCTAATTTCCATGTGGAGGAGCGTGTGGAGCTATTATCGATGTGGAGGAGCGTGTTGGTGCGTGGGGGCGAGTGGCTGGCGGCGGCGGCGGCCGGTGTCGCAAATAGCCCGTGACGCGGCGGGCGCTGCACTTTCGCGCGGTCATGTGCCCGGCGCCGCAGCCAGACGCTCGTAATCGCTCCTCTATTTAAAAACGTCGTCGGACGCCGCGCGGCGGGGAATGTGCGGCGACAATGCACGGCGTCAACGACCGCTCGCAACGGAAGCGACACACTTCCAGCCCGGAAATGTGCGCCCGCGCCTTAAGGGACCGCCGGCTCGCTATTTATAACCACGCAGGGCGCACGCCGCGTGGGGAGCGTGATGTAATCAGCTTATTTCGGAGTCGCTCCCTTTACCCGCATGTTCGGCCACCGCGGGAAACGAATAACTTCAAATTGTACGAGGAAGAGCCGGCGCGGTAATCTGTTGGGCGGATGTGGCGGGCACATGACAGCTCGCTAACGGGAGGCGCGGGTGTTTCATTATTTCTCCATCGCTCTGTTCCGTGCGACTGACCGTCTGTTGTATCATTTAAAAAAAAACGCAAGAATGATCACAGTAATAAAACAAAAATGTGGTGTTATTGTGACGATGATTCAAAATATGGACGTAATAACTCAATCTGTAGGGCTGCGCAGTTCCCAGCAGCGCGCGGCGCGGCGTCCGTTCCGGTGGAGGACTCTTGCTCATTAACGAGTAAGCAGGTAAAGAAAGCGCAAGGGCCCGGCCACCGGAGATAAGGTCAATAAATGCGCGGCTCTGTAGCTCATAATTAATAAGTGCGCGCGATAACATCTCAAGGCAATTACCGAAATACAAGGAACCACGCCGGTGTGCAGTGTGTGTAGCATCAGAAACTCATTACACCACACATTCAATTACTAAATGTGCTTTAATAACTACGTGCGGACACGTTCCTACTGTTACTATCCCGTCAGTGTTCAGCGCCCTCTCTACTGTTTTCAAAGTCAGAAAGTAAACGTTGATTACAGAAAGACATATCTTGGAAAGTAGGACATGGCCCTATTATGATGTCCTAGAACTTGCCTAGTGACTAGAAACACATTGTCAAGTGTTGATCGATTAGTATTAATGTACAATTAATCAGCTTGTCCGCGTAACCGTTTCACGACAGTGTCCCACGACTTTTGTGTCGTATCCACGGGACCGCGCCATTATCGTCGTACGAACGGTTCGACGCTAATAAGTTGCCTGTGAGACTACGAGTCCCGCATATCAACACTCGGTAATTAAGTCTGAACATTTTACATTTTTAAACTGTTAATCACGACCACGCATTCGATGTAAATATGACATGATTTTTGAAGCTGTTAAATAATTACTCGCGAGCCTCCTCGTGGGAAACGGTTACGAGGTACCGTTACCTCGGCTGGCTAGTTCACGCTCTGCTGTGCTACGACATTGCTACGAGACTGCTACGAAAATTAAACAATTTGACAGAGTATTTTAAGTAATGGGATATTTTATTTAGTTGACTCTTGGACTATTGTTTACTTAAATAAATATCGATTAATGATCGACAATAAAAATACTTTGTGCTCACTTTCTCTTCAGTTTTTAACACGAACTTTATACAATTCGGACGGCAGGGCTACAGTCAATTGTGTATCTATATTCTGTCTGTAACGTATTGCTCTGGTGTAATTTCTCGGACAGAAAGAAGAGCTGTTTGCATTCGGCTATACGAAAACTAAATAAACGTGTAATACAGAAATATAAAGTCCATCAACTCATAGTGAATACCTAGACATTTTTTCTGTTAAAATAGCAAACAATACAAAATGATTTCACAACACAACACGTTGCAGACACTTCGCATTCTCAATGATTGCGTACTCATTTTTACTGAATTTATTTACACAGAATAGACATTCTTGCGGCAGATCATATGTCGGCCACGGCGGGGTGTCGCTTACAAAAAACATTTATCGTATTAATAGTCTAATTTTCCGGCGATTGTTTGTTTGATCGTTCATACTTTCATGGAGGAATGTCCGAGTGTAAGCGGTTTGGTAGCTAGCTCAGTACTCTAGAACGGCGCGTTGAGTGTAGCAGCGAGCTCGGAGCGCGATGCCGGCGTCGCGCGTCGCATGTTTTCACATTTCCAGGCTGGCAGTAGTGTTTCAGGTGTCGGCGGAGGCCACGCAGCGGGCGGCGCGTCTAGCACCTAGATTCCGTGTATTGTTTGGTTGCGCGCGCGCCGGCGACGGCGGTGGCGCCAAGGCGCGCCGGTCCATGTATTATTCAAGCGGCCACGACCCGCGCCGCCCCCGAATTTTGTTAGCCTCGCGCCCCACAGACGTCTCTAATTACATGCTATCATGACCGACTTTACTGTGTCACGATTATTTCGATTATCGTTTAAGTCAACAACTTGTGGCGACAGAAATTGTTTTATAGGCTTCCAGCTACCTATGTTACAGTTACGAGGACATATTTGTATGACGCATGCTAACCAATATTTTCTTTGTCGCGCAGTACTGTCTGATTTTCAGTTTTCGTTTTATTTCAATGTTTTCCGCTATTGTCTATTTAGATTTCGCGGGGCGTCCGTGCAACAGATGACAGTAGAGTTGTCCTGCTCACAAGAATGTGTGGAGCGCGGGGCCTCGCGGACTGGGGGGCGGCTAGTCGGGTGTCGGCTCCGATGTCGCGGAATAGTCCATTGTGCGAGCGCGCCGCCCGCGCCGCCCGCGCGCCACCAGCGGGAAACGGGTCAAGGTCTCACTGGCGCCTACCTCACGACACACTGCTGCCTACCTCACAGCTCGCTACTCCACCTACTGTCCCACACCTATACCAACACTACATAACACACATCTATCACGAGACATTTACACAATTTTCTTATTATATATATAAAAAAGAAACTGGTTCGATATGTATTATAGCAACAAAGTAAGCGGGTGAAGATTTCTTTTCGATTCGACTACCCAAAATTAATGTGTTTTGGCCTGGCCATGTACTCAACTGACGGAAGTATGTAAACGTCAACATTACAATATAAAATGCTGGCACGCAAAAGCGATGGTCCCTGAAAATTTGTTTAAGCACATGTAAACGCGCGCCGAGCGAGATGTGATGCGAGGCTCAGTTTAGGTGTGAAGGTCAATGACCGATAAGGTTGGCGTTCCGTCGACCTCTCTTTTCCCCTCACTTCGGCCACTATCGCCAACCGACCTATCAGCAAATATGTTGCCAAATACCTACTGTGCAGGGCGGCCGGTGAGCTCAATAAGTCTGTGACCGATGTTGCCAGCTCATAATCCGGGTTCAAACATTCGACGATTGCGTGATATTTGTTTGGAACTCGAAACGTTCTCAATATGATATCTTTTGAGGGATAAAGAGGGATAGAGCGGTTGGAACGGTGGGTGGGCCGGCGAGCGGCGGTGAGCAGCGAGCACACTGCAGATTGTAAGGGCGCCAGTCTGTTGACATGCGCCTTCTCAAAACGAGTAATTGTTTGTACTGTAAATGAGGGTATTTCCCATACTTGTCTACCGTTGATAGTGTTTTGGTGGGCGAGGGGAGAGGGCGCGGGCGCGCGGGGCTGGAGAGGTGCGCAGTATCGGCGCGGGCGCAAGGTGCACGTTATCGCGCCATTGTTAGCGCCGACAGATTTATAACTTCCCTTTGCCCTCAATAAGGGCCCGTGACCTGCGCACACCTTACACTCCTAAATAACGCAAATGCTTGGAACGATATACTCAGTACCAGTTTCATAGACATTTGCAAGAGACCAGGCAAATTCAATTACCATATAAACGAAACGGACCTGTACTCGGTGTGGCTGCCCCTCGTATTCAGTCGACACGTCTCCATATTTAATTCAGTTTGAACCTAAATGTCTTATACTTTGGGAAGTTTGTATCCCATTTGTTTATGAGAAACTGGTTCATTGAAGTTATTAGAAACCGTTCAATAATCATTTTCTTGGGAGATAATTTGACTATATTAATATTTGGATGAGAAAGCTATCGTAAGAACATTTGACATACCTGGTATTATTGACAAGTCTCCTCCAATCAAGAGAGAAGTTCACTCTAAGTTCTTTGCGAAGACAAAGAAGATTAGCAGATCCACGACGTTTAGTTCTCGACCACGCACCTGAAAAGATCACAAAAAACTATTTTAATAAATAAATACACACGCAATATCTAAATATAATAGTAACTATAGAGTGTAAACTATAAATTTCTTATTGAAAATACGGATTGGGTTCCCAGCAGTAAATTAGACAATCTGTGAGAAATTCCGCTTGGCGCCATTCCGACTCCGCAAATATGACGACCAATCATTAGGGTTTTTTGTGTAAGTAAATATATATGTATTGAGTTAATTGTCTTCTAGCTAATTTATTAACTTTTAAGTTAGTGGGAAAAGTGTAGGTATAGGTACAGAACAATAATGTCACTATTAGTATGAGTGACACAATATTTGTACAAAGTGAATAATTGCATAAGATGAAACCTTTGCATGTATCAAAACACGAAATGTTGACGAGGAACCCGGGCCCGTAATAAGATAATAAAACGGTCAATCCCGAGAACGTTCCCCAGTCAACTCGAGCGTAAAGCAAGCGGAGCCACGATACTCGATCCTGTCATCTTATTAAATAGTTTTGTTTATTTATCGATACCGTTATTACACAACAGAAGACATATTTAAAAACCCCTGACGTTTTTTTTTATTTTTTCTAAGTTGTCAACTGTTATGACTCGACCATTCGATTCAATTTGAAAGTGAGTGTCTCCGTTTTTATTAGTTTACTAGCAGCTCGCCCCTGCTTCGCACGGGTATCATCATCTCGCTTAAGATGAAAGGGTCCCTATTACCCAACTCTCCCCTCTACTTGTCTAAAATTTTCTTTCATAAGAACCTTCTCCTGACTATAACACACATAACAAAAAAAGAATCAGTAGAATTGGTCCAGGCGTTTTTGAGTTATGCGCTTACAACACTTTTTGCGATCCATTTTTATATATAAGATTATGGCAGTTTGAACGGGATATGTTCGTATCGAGTGATGGTGGACGTCACAAACGGTGATGTTGATGATGTCATGCGTGAGGGCTGGCGGCGCGCGGCGCTGGTATGCGGTATGCGACGCGCTAGCCGCATAACGGTGCGCGCGCGACGACTGCGCGCGTTCCCAGGCTCCGCGAGCGCTCGATCGACGCCCCGAGATAAGCCCCATTCTATACGAAACCCAATAAGCCATTTCCTTGAAACACTCACAGGGGAACCGCTCCCGTGAAAAAAAATGACCAAAACTATACAAAAAAGGCCTGTGAATAAGGCAGGAGCGTGAAATAAGAATGGCCTCAGTTCTGGGAAGGCTCGGCGCCGGTGCAGTCTTTACATCCTTTATAATGATCTTTTTTGTGGAGCGACCCTTAATGGCTTATCGTGGGGCTGAGAATGTTGGCACAGTGCGAAGCGGCGTGTATGTACCTTATTAGTTGGCGAGGCGCGGCGATGTGGCCGAGCGGAAATCGACAATCGGTTAGAGATTTAACTGTTGAGATTGTGTGTGACGGAAGCGTCGTCGTGTTCAATGGTAGTGGCTGTAGCGAGCATGAATGACGGAACACTCACACAGTTAAAACTGCGGATACAATAATGATTGACCAATTTAGAAACGTGACATTTGCATATTACACTTGGATTCATCCTACACGGTGTCGCGACGTGTACTGCACCTTGCGTGAATGTTTAATGAAGCGCTTTATGGAGAGTACATCCAGCGGCGGAGGTGCACGGCCGAAGTACGTCCTCGGCGGGAGGAAGCGTGACGAAGGAAATGCTTATGAAACGGTCGCCCACGCCGCGTGCGCCGCGCCGGAAGCGGAGGCGCAGCGCACGCTCGGCACACTCGGCGGCGCAGTGTGGCTGGGCCTGCCGGAACAATGTAATCAATGCGCGATAAAATGAGAGCAAAGGTGAGAGGACCGAAGGGCGTCATGTGTGCCGGCTACGTCACAGAGAGATGCTGTGACTCAGCGGGGACGAGGCACACGTGTCGCTGACGTCACATGCACCTGACTCATCACGTACTCATCATCTGGGAAAGACAGTGTTGTAGTACACGCGCGAGGCCCACTGCCGTGGCCGCCGCCGCCGCCGCCGGCGACCGCTCGCTGTACGACCTGCATGCTGTATCTCTTGTGTTGACTAATGCGATGCTCAAACTGTTTTCATTTCATAGAAACTTCAGTAGGTACTCCAATTTTTGGAATCCAACAGAACAAAGGAAGAGATAGAAAATAAAAAAACTAAAGGTCAATTTAATGCTAACCGGAAAACAGACGATAATGTAAATATAACACCAGGAAAAATGTTTTGTCGGTTGTGCGACTTGAATTATGCTTCAAGTTATTACTTTATATATTTGAATTTACATTAGCTATGAGAAAAAAAATCAACAAAGTTACTAGGTAATCAAACAATGCGTTGAAAGTTTTACCAACAATTGGTTTTACATTAAAATTGTAATAGAGGTTTGTTCAATATTCTTTGAATCGGATAGAGACATGTAAATTGTATAATGTCTATGAAAGTTTATAAACCTTCTTGATACATATATAGACAGGAGGCAATTCCACAACATGCATTGTTTATTGGTGGATAGTGGTGGAATGCAGAGAGAGTTTTAATCGTTTGAACAAGCTGAACGAGGGTAGGGCATGGCAAGAACCGGAGGGCAATGAACAGCCGGGGGTTAAGTAAAACTAGAGGAGAGCAGGGCGAGTGTGCGAGCGGGAGGCAAGAGCAGACGTCATGCTCTGGTGACGTACGTCCTGTCGGCAACGTGCTGCCGTCGCGCGCCTGCGCCCGCGCACCACACTCCGCCGCACACACTGCTACCCCCATACACTCCACTGTCAACACACACTACCCCTAACTATCACACACACAATTCCCTAGACTTTATACTCACTATAATATAAAATAAATGTAGTAGTCACAAAAATTTATTCAAACGTATAAATAATTATTTCCAAATTAAGTAACTATAAAAATTTGACTACCCACATTAGATAATAATTTTTTTCTAGTAAAATTGTGAATTGCTATAAAGCTGTGCTCGAATTAATATATAGACTACATGTTGAGGATGGTCGATGTTAAGGCAATAGTAGAAGTATAAGGAATAGAAAAAACCAAAAATATATTCTAGTCTTACGCTACTGGGTGTAACATTCCATTGATACAGACGGAAAATCACTATTTTAATTCACTATGCACTAAATATCACATTTGATTTCGGTGTAGCGATTGAACGGACACTTGTTTCCAACACAACGCACGAAGTCCGGCCTCAACTAGCGGCGTTCACTAAACAACGTGATAATACAAAAAGAAGTCAGAGGTTACGATGTTATCGAGGGAGACATGAATATTCGAAGACGCGAGGGTCACGAGTGAACGGTCGTCGTAGCATCGCGCCGCGGCGTGAATGGAACGACCGACATTTTATGAATCGAGAGCCGTCGCCCATTGAGCTGAGTGCGGCGAGCGGCGAGCGCCGACGGTGCGCGCGCGCAGCACCGTCGGCGCAGGGCCCACAGCTCGGGCCCGCACCGGCGCCGGTTCCGGCCCCGGCGGAAGTGACGCTCCAACCGAACATGGCGGCGCGCACGCAGGAAGTGCGCAGCTTACCTATCGGGACGTCTCCGCCGGCGGCGGGCGCAGGCGACACCCGCCGCCGTCCAGCGCTCGAGCAGCGCACGCGAGCCCGCATGCGCCGATACCGATATCCGCAAAAGTGCGCGCGATCACTACCTTGCGAATAAATTATTCGTGCTGTTATCTAAAAATATTCGTTTGCGACGCAGAGCGCTCGCAGCCCGCAGCCCGAGCCGACACGGACTTGCACACGCGAACCGCTTCCCCGCTGCGGGGAGACTGATGAGGGCAGGCCGCGCCGGCGCCGGCGGAGGCTCCGACGCATGCGCACACCGCCGTCCGTCCCTTTCCGCGGGCGCGCCATCGCTGCGGAGCGAGCGGGACGACGACAACTCATTATCACAGCGCCGACTCGTGAACACCAATAGATCGAGGAGTAGGGACAAAATATTCGACCTTCACTTCACAACGCACACGAGCGCGTGCGCTGATCGCGTCGCGACACTTGCACACACATGCGCGCTGCTCGCAAATTGCTGGCGGCCGTCGCCGTGCCGCCGCCGCGCCGCCGGTGTGCTACATTTGACAATTTTTCCAGAAAACTGCCATGCACCGTCACCGTGGGCGACGCGCGCCCGCCGCCACGTGGCCGCTCGCCACCACTCCGCACTACACACTGGCTACATCACTCTCTAGCCACTGCTGATAACACTGCCAATATCTACCGACAATCAATTTATATGGAACAATAGATTAAAATCTAATTTCAAAAGTACATTTTACTGAAAAAAAATACACTTGGAGAGCTTAACTTTTACATATAAGCAGATCAATATGCTCCTAGTATTAAGAATTGCAAAATCAAAAATTTCAATTAATTACAAAAACTAACTTTATCTATTCTAGCGGATATTTTCAGAAATATCAAAGTATTAATTAGACGAGCTAGGAAGTATACAAAATATTATGCTTAAAAATAATAAGAAGGAAATTATAGGAAAAAAAGACATAAGTCATAAGATCATATTTTGTAAAAAACCCTATCTATATGTTTAAAAAATATGTCCATCAGTAGGTACATGGTAATTATACATAGTTCAGTTTGCTTCAGATACCTAACAGTATTAACAGTTAAGTAGGTGGATTGAATTAGTTAAAATCATAGGTACTCTAATTGGTATTTGTTAGTCAAGTTTTTATGAAAACATGATAATATGAAATTTTATGTATTATATTATTATTCCCAAGTAAAAAAAATATATTAAATCATTATAATTATCATAAGTATTCATTTGGTTCATGATACTAATGCAATGCAATAATAAATATTTTATTATTTTTTTAAACGGATTGATTTTCTATTTTTATTCTACATTGTTAAAGTTTTAAATTTAATTATTTAATTTATTAAATTTGTAGAAATAGAGGTCTTTACAAGTGTTTCTACCTAACCGACAAATTGTTTCTTCCTCATTGGTTGAACCAGTGACTAGAACATTTTTGCTTGGTCATTTTTATCCAAAGTAGGTATAGAAAAAAAGTCTTTTACTTTAAATCAAAAATATAAATTAGTGCGAATAGTTATTTTTTATTAAATAGTCAAAAATAAAATCATTTTGATTCTATTACACAATTTTTGTTACAATTTTCACTTCTGTGTATTTGTAAAAAAATAAACATTAATTATAATTTAATAATAATAATCAGATATTTTTCTAAATATAATCTATATATTTTTTTAATAATTTAAAATAGTATTTTAAAACACTGGAAAACAGAAACAAAGGTTGCAAAACCTAAGACAGATTTGCCCTATAAAAAAATAACCAAAAATTATTTTAATACTTTTTAACTCGATTAATTTTCATGAATGGTTCTATTTTCGAAATTAACTCATTTTAAGTTATCAAAGTTATTGGTTTATATTGTAAATCACAAAAATAGGTTTTATTGCGCTGGACTCAAAGCCGTCTGACTAGGGCAAAATAAAATGGGGTTATTTCACGAAAAATACATGAAAGTGTTAAGTTTTTTGATAATTTCTTATAGGCGCTGAGTTATAGTGCGGGAAGACAGGGAAGAAGTACGCAGGAAGTGCGTGCCAGTGTTGCCACACGCAGCCGTAACCCTGCGCAAGCGCTGGGGAGCCGCGCGCAATTTTTCATTCGAATACTCTTCCAACATAAATCCTACACATATTTTTACAATAATCATATTCCAATATTAATAGAAAAATAGTTAACAATGCCCCGCGTATAATTTTCATAGTTTAAAAACCTTTTAATTTTTTTTAAAATAAATTTGCTAGAAAAGTAATCGTTTTTATGTAGTGTAGGTACTTATCTATTCATGTATATAATAAAAAAATATTTGTAAGCGTTCAAATTGAAATTTAAATGAAACAAATTGCCATTATAATTACAATTATAGCTTTAAAAATTAAATAGGTATAATACCAATGGAAAACCGTTTGTGGAAACAAAGATAATCTTCTCTAGATTAGGTTTTTATCATAAATGATGCATTAGGCATAGTTTCAGTAGATATAATTATTAAAATACCTATATATTTTGTTGGACAGCCATTTTATTAAAAAAAGGCAGAAAACAATTAAATTTTCACAAGATTTTTCAGGTTTCATGTGTGATTTAATTATATAAAAGAGATATATTTAGAAAAATAAAAATAATATATACCTAAAGCTGTGTATAGGTCATAGAATGATGTTTGTTGGGTGAATGTGTGTGTAAAGAAATTGTGTATGTGTGTAAATCGCGTTGGAATCCGGTATCGTTATCAGCACGTAGGGCTGAGCCTACTTATCTAATCTTGCACCCACTTTAGCTCTTAGATAAAATTCACTTCTTTTCAAACATATTTCAACAATTTACTTCACATGTTGGCGCCAATCATTCATAACTCCTCTTCTCCAGAAAAAAAAAAACAAACAAAATTACCATGTCCATACTGTCCAATTCTGTTTTCAAAAAATATTTTAGAACGAACTAATTATTGCTTTAAAATAATTAATCGTCCAATCCAGTTTTAATTGGTAAAATGCACTAAAAACTCTTAAGATGTTAAAAATATCACTTTTTCAAAGGAAATGTAATCAAATTAGTTTTAGATGTGATTTTGTACTCTATAAATCGCTTTTAGTTCTAAATAAAAATTGAATTGTGGTTGAAAAAGTAATAAACTAAATATTTCAGACAGAAATTACGAATGAAAACAAATCTTAATAGTACAAATATATAAAATGAACAGAAACCAAAAGAGGTTTTTGAAATTTTATTAGTAATGTGTATGTTTGTACTCTTTGTTCATTTTTAAATTTATTTCCTCTAGCAACATTTAGTTATTCAATTAAAAAAAGATTGGCGTTTAAAAAACAGTAATACATTTTTACATTATCTACCATCAAGAAAAATTACCGTTAAAATAACTTCTACCAAATTTTTTGAACAATAGCAACCCTTTAAGTATTCATTACTTTAATGGATTTGCATTTTATTTAAGCTTCATTGTAGATAACTTTCAAATATAAAATCACAAAAAACTTATCCATTCCAAAAATGTCTAAGAAAACAAAAATAAGAAACATTTACTTGTTTCTTAAAAAATAAATTTGAATTTGGTACGATTTCGCATTCAATTGGCAACACTACAGCGGGAAAGAACTTGATTTAAGCAATTGCAAAGTTTAGCAAATATGTAGGTAGTTTATCAAAGGTTAAGTTGAACATGTCAGAATCTTGAACCAGCAAAAATATTGTTATAATAAAATGTTGAAGTTATTATTTAATTTGGTTACAAGCAGATAAACAAAAATATAAATAATTACATGAAACCCCAAACAATTATTTTTAATTTAAATTTATTAAATAATTCTCCAAAATTAATTTAAGTGTGTAAAAAGTTGCAGCAAAAGTAGCATTTCTGGGATTGTTGTCAATGTAGGTATGCATGTGTAAACTAAAAATATGGTTGTAGACTTAAAAATAAATAAAAAATATATAAATAATCCGTAAAGAAAAATTAAAATTACCCTCCGTTTGTAACTATACCTAACAATTATCTACAAAAATCGTCGATTTAATATTGAATAATAAAAAGTGGCCAACTTACCTTTTCGTTAAGAACTACATACTTTTAACGTTTCAGAGTCATTTCACATTTCTGATATTAAGAAAATGGTTTTATCAGTTCATTTCACAAATAAGTCACAACACTATACGTCTCAGAAGGTCCGAACAAATCATGCACTTTTGAACTATGTCATTATATTTCATAGAAGGGCTAAAATTACACAAATTTATTAAAAGTGTAAATAGTTTCAAGTATAACCGAAGAGTCACAGTGAACAACAACCTCCGTAAGGTGTCGTTTAACAATTAGAAGTCAGGTACTCCGTCACATCACTCCCGCCCAGCCAGCGAGCACCGGCTTCCACCCGCCTGCCTTGTCACAGCAGTCGCGCACTAGTACAACATATTAAGCTCGTTTAAGGTTCGCCTGATTGCATGATTTATAAGAATTGATTTGAATATGATCCGGGCTAGTCAGCTGCATGGCCGGCGGGAGCAGTGTCGCGGCGCAGCGGAGGGCAGCCGGCGCAGGCGGCGGTGAGCTGCACTCGTCTTCTCTCAGGCGTGACGTCCGGCCGGGGTCAGCGAACGCAGGGCCGCCGATAGCTTTCTTGTGCCCGACAAACGACCCTCCGAGATGTCACTCACGTGTTTTCTGTCGCCCCTTCCCGTGCGACCACTTCCCAACGACTATTCGTCCCGTCTTCGCCACCGCCACCGCGCGCCTTTGATGCTTTGCATTGCTTTCTAATGAATACACGAAGTAGGAAGTATTCGAAACGTCGGTCGTCACATTGTGAAGCACAGCTTTATATTTGTACACAAACACACGAGGGACCCTCGTGGAGTAATATCACTGAGTCGGGGGGCTGTGTCTCGTTAATAGATAATTGTTGTGCGATATCATCGTTCCTTCGGCGCGGGCGCAGCCATCAGCGCTAACAGATTAATCGTGGCAATGTATCACACGTGCAGTCCGCGCTAGCGGCCCTTCTATTTGTAAACCGGCGCCGAGGGCCGCGCATTCCTAGCGTGCCTCGTGCCCTGCGCCCGCACCACCCGAACGGTCTCCGCTACGGAACTACCACTATCCACCATCGGTAACCGCCTATAATACCGCTTACATCCTCCACTACATTCTAATTTTCCCATCATTTGCAGCAGTGTATGTCGTCCAAAGCGATATTACCACTGGGCCAGTTTGTACACTCGATTCTGAACTCTAATGCCGCATTAAAAGCAATGCTACTGTAACTGTCAAACAGAATATTGTTGAGAAGATTTCGTCAAATTCTTCGACCAAATATGGAGTTGTAAATGGCTTCGAATGAAAGGTTTAAATGATTCTAAAATGCTTCGGTGAATTGTTTTGTATATTGATATTAATATATAAAACTATGTACGAAACGGATGTAACGAAGTCACTTTTATACTCTTGAGATTTTCTTACTACAGCTAAGAATTTTCGTAGCAGTTTCGTAGTCATGTCGTAGCAGTTAAGGCTAAGTAAGAGGTTCTTCTCAAAATCAGGTTTAAGTGCATACTTAAACTCTGGTTTTAGGTATGTTAAGTAATCAATGCTTGAACGCATTAGAAAGAGTTAAGTAA